GTGGTAATGTGGTGGCAATAATAAAATTTAAGTTTGGAAAACGTTTTTTATCTTTTAAAAGTGAAAAACATTTTATATCCAAATATGATTATTTTTCCATTGATCATAGAAAATATTTTCCGTTGACTTTTGTTTTTTATTGTACCATACAACAAAAAATGCGGAAAATATTTTTCTAAAAAACATTTTTGTCTAAACAAACGAAGCTTAAAAGATCATCCCAAAAAGTTAAAAAAAAACCTTTTGCAACAAAATTTTGAAAATGTCGCTAGTAAGTATACTTTTAGGAACAAAATACTTTAGTGTGAAAATGATTATATTTTTTTTCTTTCTAAAATTTTGGTCACAAAAGAACAATAATTCATCACTAAATGTCTAATTTCATCACTAAAAATATAAAAATGACACTGCCAGCAACTATAATATTTTATTCATAAAAAGTCTGTTTCTAAAACCTTAATTTGTTGTAGGGATGGCATCAAACATGTCTCTTTTACGTGTCAATTAATCAATTCCAAATTTGCTGAAAATTTGTGAAGTCAAATGATGACATTGAGTTGATATCAAAAGTCCTAACTAGTTTACATGGTCTAGGATCTTTGGGGCACCCTTGCTAACAACTACTTGGCATCAGACATGCCAACTAATCAATTTCCAATTTGCAGGAAATTTGTGAAATCAAACGATGATACTGAGTCAGATAGAATAGAACATGTAATTCGAGACTTAATCATAACGATGATACAAAAAAGAGAAGAGAAAGTGGTGCAAGGAAAATCGGACAACTACGGGAGTGACTTTCTTGGATCACTTATAAAGTTTTACCATGATGCTGATGATAACAGTAATATTTCAATTGACACTGTGATAGACGAATGCAAGATATTCTACATTGCTGGACAAGAAACCACTAATGGCTTACTAGCTTGGAGCATTTTTCTCCTAGCAATCCATTCAGATTGGCAAGAGAAAGCAAGGAAGGAGGTGCTTGAATTGTTTGGCCAACAAAACCCAAGTCCAGAAGGCATCGCAAGATTGAAGAGTGTAAGCAATTTCAACTCTCTAATCATCATCCATTAATGTATGCATATTATCATTTCATATCAAATGCAGACGATATCAATACTAAACTTCTAAGAAAACACAAAACACTTCTATCTTAGAGGCACCTGACAAAACTCGTGAAGTCAATTGCTGGACTAGCCTAGAGTGGTTAGTCTTCTACGTAGAAATTGGTCATGCGTTTTACATGTTATCATAGTTAGGTCATTCCTATGCCAAGATGGGGATGTCCCATATTGGATAAAGATGATGTCCATAATGGACTTATAAGATGACGCAAAATGAGTCTATCTTATAGGCTCTTTTTGGGCCTGGATCCTAAAGGGAGAAATTCGTGAGACTGTTGTTGGGTTGGGATATAGAAAAACATTTTTTTAGGTACAGTTGGGTCGTAAATCTGACAATGCGAAATAAGATTAAGTTTCTAATCATTTATTTTTTTCTTGTAGATGAGCATGATCCTAAATGAAACTCTAAGGTTGTATAGTCCAGCAGCCAATATGTGGAGAAAAGTTGAGAGGGAAGTCAGATTGGGAAAGCTTGTTCTTCCAGCCAATATGGATGTCTATATTCCATCTCTAGCACTCCACCATGACCCTAATATATGGGGAAAAGATGCTCACCTTTTCAAGCCAGAGAGATTTGCCGAAGGGGTGGCTAAAGCAACTAATAACAACACAACAGCATTCATTCCATTTGGTTTAGGACCTCGAATGTGTGTGGGTTTGAACTTTGCAGCAGCTGAAACCAAGATAGCGCTCTCAATGATTCTGCAACGCTATACATTCACCCTCTCGCCAACTTATGTTCACTCACCAATGCAAATGCTTACTATTCGCCCAAAGCATGGAATTGAAGTCATATTCCATGCATTGTAAATTTCAGTTGTAGCTTTTCTCTTATCAATGTGAGCAAACTCGTAAACTGTTGACAATAGATGTTCTGTATTTGTGTGTGTTCTGTATCTGGGTGTTGTTCTGTATCTGTGTGTTCTACTCTGTGTTGCTGTCTTGCTGATGCTGTGCTGCTGGTCTGTGTAAATGGTGTGTTCTTGGCGAATGCTACGATCATGGTCTGTGCCAGATTAGTCTGAATGCTTTGCAGTTTTGTGTGGGAGTTTTGGGGTGATTGGTTCTGCTGGTTTTTAGAGTAGAGATCATCAACAAGTGATGATCTGGTTTTGTTGCTGAAATGACGATCTGCTGCTGGTGGGAAATAATCTGATGAAGCAAAATTCTCTGCAGGCTGCTGCTGTTATGTGGATGTTTTTTGTTTATGTTGATAGGGTTGAGCTGCCTTCCACAAGTTCACTCTCTTGCTGCTGTTGAACTGATGGGGTTCTGCTATGCACTGTTGGGGTTTTCCTCTGCCCTTGCACTGCTGGGGTTGTGCTGCCTCTTTGATTTAAATTGTAGTTTTGTTTTGGTCCCTTTTCCTCTGGTTTCGCTGGTTTTATCTTCTTTGTTGGTCTCTCACCAACTAGGAGGTTGGAGCTTTGTTTAGCTCCAACCTCCTCTTTATTGATGTATCTTTTCATACTTTGTATGGTTTTTCATCAATAAAGTCTTTCGTTTTGCTGATCAAAAAAAATATGCTTTCCGTTGAAATAAATTTCAGAATGGACAAAAAGTATCTGATATTGTGGAAGGAGCGATCCTTTTAATCTGTCCATTGCTTGGTTGTTCTCTTAAACGTCTAGTGTTTTCAATAATATATATATAACATTTTTATACCATAAAGGAGAACACAATATGCTAAATAGGACAAACCAGTATTGAGGCATGGGTTGGGACACTTGAGACAATAGATTTGTCTTTATTTTTTTACCTCTTGAAAGTTTTGCTTCATCCTCCTCCAAGCTTTATAAAATCATACCAATGAAGTTAACATTAGTCTTTTGGTTCTTATTGACTAGCTGAGTCACCCCTAAATGTTAATCAAGAAAAACGTACGTCTTGGTCACAAAAAAGGAGAAACAATGCAACAATTTTTCCACTCACTTCTAAACACATACAAAGGTCACATGAGAAGTTAAGATTGAATGCTTTTGGTGAATATTGACTATCAATCAATATAGTAAAGCTTGATTTTGGCGGTATATTTGGAGTATTGATCAACATAGTAAAGCTTTTAATGGATAACACTTTCTATGTATAGCTTTGAATTTGCTAGCTTTGTTAGATCACCGATTCTATAAAAAGTTTATGCAAAAAGAGAATACACACAGTATTGTATTTTAATTTATGTAGCACAATCCCTCATATGCAACTCATTATGCATGTAGAAAGAGAAAAAATATTTGATGTTTTGGAGCTATATTTTATACTAATAAAAACATACTCCTTGGGATAAACATTAACGTAAAGTACCAGGCTCCATTAATATGCACCAATCACATTGTTGCAACAAGCAGTTATAGCACTACGTAGCTTTGCTCACAACATGACATCTCCTGGAAAGGCAACTTTTTGAACAAAAAAATTAACTAAACAATGTAACACCTTAAAAACTAACAAATCTTATAAAGTTTTCTTACTTGAGTTGTCAAATGAAACCCATTTTAAAGAATAAATAGGTTACATATCATAGCCATGTCATGACCCCATCCCACTCCCAAATGGGATATTGTGGTAATCGGCCAGTAGTCACAGACTACCGAAGGCCTAACTAAAAAAAACAAGTTAGACTCTTGTAATAATTGGGGCAAGATTTGTTTTAAATTGTGGAAGCCGTTTGCTTATCTAAAACATCCATCAAGGGCAGTGCATGCCTGTATGAAACAAAACGTGCAACATTTTTTATTACATTAATTAATTTTCTTACAAGAAGTATATATTTTCTACGAGGGCATCTTTTCCAAAGCTAAGTACAACTTCATGAGCATAGTAAATACTACTTCTTCTTCACTAACATATACATATAACTTCAAGCGGCAAAACCTTCCATTTCAAGTCTTTTTCACCTACATACACATAAGGGAAATGGGTGAGTTAAAACATGGTGAATAGTACTATAATAAAGTAGTAATATGAATGTATATTGGTATGTGTTTGAATGGTTACATTTAAGCCTTCAAGTGTGATAACCACACCTTGCACATCATTTTGCATTAATTTAATTATAGAAAATTTTAATTTTAATTTTTTTTTTTTTTTGCATTGTATGTGGTGTGATTCGTATGTGATTTATTTGATAGGTGATTTTGATTTGAATCAGGAATTGATAACCCATATGACTCAGAAACCTTTGAGTGATAAGCTTAATTGATTCAGTTTAGTGTGAAGAAACTAATAGGAACTCAATCAAAAATTTAAGTGAGATTAGTATTAATTAAGAATGATTAAATTGTGATTAATAGGTTAATCAAGTTAATTGTTAATCATGATTAAGTAGTGATTAATTAAGCTAATACATGATTAGAGCCTTAAATTAATCCTAATCTAATTCTATTCAATATATAAGTTAAGATGTGAGAAGTTGAGTTCGTTATATGCATTTTGCCGGAGAAAACTTAAGAGAACACTACAAAAAATTAAGGTTTTAGATATCAAAATTTAGGGACAAAATTATTTTTTAGGGACTAAATATTGTTGTTGCGAAAAGTGTAGTTATTATATTTTTAGCAACAAAAATAAAATATTAGTGATGAGTTATTATCCTTTTGGGACCAAATTTTTTATCTAAAGAAAAAAATCATTTTGAGACCAAATTATTTTGTCTCTGAAAGTCTATTTATTGGTGACATTTTTAAAATTTTGTCGCTAAAAGCCTTGTTTTCGACTTTTCGGGACAACCTTTGTGATAACCCTGTTCCGCATTATGCTAATTGATCTTTATTATGAATGTGATTAT